TATAAAGTCCCTGACATAAAAAGTGAAAACACTGAAAATAAGTAAATATGGGAGATTATCTAATTTTATCATGCAAAAAGTAAAACAAAACACTCCTCCATACACTTTTGGTATATTATTCACATGCCATATTGTAGAACAGATACAAACATAGCTTTGTGAAAATAAAATAGTCTTTGACAACAGGAGAAAAGGAAAGCCTGCCAACATCTGCACATGTACAAATACCTCTTTGTTTTTGGAGCCTTTCCAACTGTGGCAAACAACAGTCAAATATACACTTCATTACCCAAGTCCCTCATAGAAAAGGATAAAATATATGAACAAATGTCATCTTAAGCAAATTTATATTCATATAGTGATTTCTGACGATGTTAACTGAAATTCTGTTATGCTTCATTTTAAGAAGAGCACTACAATTCTTTCATATAGTTTGCTACCTAATCTTTTGGAAGAATTTTAATAAATGAATTCATACCACTTGCTCACATGACAAGAATTTCTCATTGTATAATCAAAATAGTCAGATTTCCTATTAATGAGAACAGAATTCTATTGAACACACTGTAGTACAAAGAAAATGCTCAAAAGAAGCCAACACATTTATAATTTGTATTTAAACAATTCTGGCTCAGAATCAAAATTACCATGGTCAAACAGAGTTTGAGAGACAAAATTTTAAGACATTATAGCTTAGATTTCTTAAGTATATCAAGCAATAAGATACATAACTTCTAAGTTCCTGATTACCAAACTATTACAGTGAATAAAACACAGTAACTAATATTAGAAGTTTACTTCTGAAGTCCACACTTTTAAAATTTTAAACCAAATCTTAAATCAGATTTACAAATTGCCTAGGACAATAGGCACATAGTCTTAAGCAATCTGAAATAAAATGTGTGCATTTTAATTAATTATTTACATTTGAAAAAATATGTACAAATATTTTTTGGTTGAAGGAAGGAGACTTTAAATGTGTAATGGTTTAAATTCTAATTGGATTAGAGGCACTCCAATTAATTGTTCGGAGATTTTCATCAGGCTTAAATGTATGGTATAATATATAGTTTTTAAAACTAAATATTAGTTCCAGATTATACAACAGCATAAAAGTTGTAAAATTACTGTATTTTTTTAAAAGAAAATGTCTATTGAGTATTACTATCAATATAAAAATTAAAAATGAAAATTTAAGTATTTAAGTCACACATGGTTAACTGAATTAAAAAATTAATATTTCTTTAACATGATTTAAAGAAATATTAAATGCCTTCGCTGTTAATTTATAAAACAAAAAGCATTTTGAATATGAGTATTAAGATAAATCATGTTTGTTTGTTTGTTTGTTTGTTTTAAAAACAGAAAACCATAAGCTACTTTTTGGATATCATAAAACTCAAGTAATATTAATAACAATATTATACACAATAACAGTAGCTTAAAGTCAAGGTTTCAGAAACAAACAAAACCATTACAGTCATCTTCCATTTTAAGAGAAAATAAAATGAAGATGACATAAAATGTATATAATCGATATCAGAAAATTTAGATAGTTTATATTCTTTACGGTATGTGTTATAAAATTCTGTATTTAAAGGGTAATATAGTATAAAGTAGAATAATGGACTTAAAAAAATCACGAGGCTAAATTTTAAGGTCCACCTTCACCTCTGCATCTCACTAGTTGTGTGATCCTGTTAAAGCCAGAAGTTCTTAGAGCTTTACTCTCTTTCTCTATAAAACTGGAATAATATTTGTACCAACATACTCATCAGGGCAATCCAAGGATCAAAGAGAAAAGAGTATGAAATGTACTTCGTTGATTTAATACTACTTTATAAAGTATTGCTTATCAAAACATTTTATATTTCCTACTTAAATCTGATTAAAAAGTTCAGATATTCATAAAGAGGTGTTCTTATTTTCATATCACCTACTGAAAGGCAGCTACAAATAATGAACTCCTTCCAAATATAGCCAAGAACCACTAAATTTGAAATACATCTTCACTGTCTTCTAGTAGTTCCTAATTTACAATGGAATATATAAGATACCAGACTTTAAAAAGGCTCAGTGCTACGAGAAATATATAGGGCATCCATGAGTACTAAAAATACAAAAATATTAAAACTTGATTAACATGTATATGCATAAATGTGGCATTGTAGTTTGCTCTTCATTGATAATATGTAAACAACATAAAATAAATTCTAAGTGCTGAAGTAATCTATCAGCTATCTATTGATCAAAAACCAAGTATCATGATATTTTATATGACTAATAAAGGGGATGTAAAATTTAATAATTCTTGAGTTGAAGATATCTGAGTTGGAAATCTAGTTCACTATTATTGGCACAGTTTAAATGATTTGCCTAAACTCGCAAAGATTGTAAGAGGTAAAGTCAGGCTAATACAACCCCACAATCTCATATCCTTCTGTTTCAGAAATTTTCAGATTTTGGAAAGATAACAGTGCATATATTTCACACTCATTATGCAACATCTCCAGTAGTCTGGGGTAGCACCTCACAAAAAAACATATTATGCTGCAAAAATAATGTAAGGTTATTCATCTTAAGTGGGATAAAGCACACAAATTACCTTATGTGTTTTTACATTTTTTTTTCAATTTGACAAAGCCTATTCTCTACAGGTTTTTAAATTTAGAATTGCAGATAAGAAATTGTAGGTTAACTCATATTTCATTGACCACTCTAAG